AATCAACCATGTCTTAGGATCAATCTGATCGATCCTGCGAGTAACCAAATAAGTAACCTTTTGGAAGATCAGCGGTTGTTTACCAATTCCCACGGTAAACACAACCACAGACAAAAACTTATAGGAATTTGTTACCAAGTTTGGCATCATCCAACACTTAGTCTCCGTCGAACACCCACATACAAATGGGAAAGCTGAGTATACAAACATGGTGATCCTTTGAGGCCTCAGGCGAAGGTTTGAAGAGACCAAGAAGAAATGGGTCGAGGAGCTACACAGCTTACTATGGGCCTATTGGACAATAACTCGCTCATCAACCGGGGATACTCCCTTTCGACTAGCATACGGAACTGAGGTCGTCATCCCCGTAGAAATTAGGGAGCCCTCCAAACGGACTAAAGCTCCCCTCGACAAAGAGATAAACGAAGTTTCATTGAGGGAAGAGCTCGACCTTGTCGAGGAAATCCGAACAGTAGCGGCCTTGTGAGAAGCCTCTCTCAAACAAAACATTTCCATCCGATATAACCCCAAAGTCATAAGGCGTAAATTCGAAGTCGGTAGCCTAGTCCTAAAGAGAAATCACAAAGAATCCCGCGAAGGCAAGCTCACCGCAAACTGGAAAGGCCCATATTGCGTTCATGCAAAGATGGGGAATGGATCCTATTACTTGGAAATCTACACATGAAACAACTTGCTCGACCTTGGAATATCGAAAAACTAAGGCAATGTTACAGTTAAGACATTGATATAGTCAGCATGTCTCTTCGGAACAACAAACACAGTTTTCACGACCACATGTGCATGCCCAGGTATAAGCATGACACTCCAAATTAAACAAAGAGGAAAGTCTCCACTCTTTTGATGAGAAAATTCTTAGCCCAATATGGAAAACTCAAACGAGCTCCACCGTTGTTGTACCATGATGACAAAACACCTAGCTCGTGATGAGAAGTTCACGCCAGCGAGCCCGGGCCCTCCAAACGAGTCCTGAGTTTGGCCCATGCCCGGAAATCACCATAGTCGTTTAACCAGTCTCTCCACACTGGTGGACTCGAATACTAACGAGCAAACCCATGAAACTCTTAATCAAAATAAAATGTCTCAAGCAGACGAGCATACAAGACATGCAAACATTCTACAATGAACAATCAATAAATCATGAATGAAGCAAAGTTAAAAACACTTAAATGATGCAGATTAGTATAAACTGCCATCATAGTCGGAGAATTTAAAAGGCGGCCACAAGAACCTAAATTGTCGAGAATATTACATAAAGAAGGCCTGAGGCCCCCATCCAAATAAAAGAACATATGGTCACGAGGACCACGATTGTTTGAAAATTACATTAAAATGGGCAGAGCCCCTGAAACAAATTACAATAATATGACACACAGTCTGAAAGAAAAGAAAGAAACAATAAGTTGATCAAACATCAGGCTGAGATCCCTCCTTGTAAGCACGGTCCTCTTGGATTATCTCCTCGACCGATCCATCCAGTCTAACCTTGAGGGAGTCGGGCACAACGATCTTCTCATCCACCACATAGTAGAGAAATCTCGTCCAAATTGTATTCAACTCCACGCCTGTATTCACTACTCTAAGTTGCGCCACAACATTTTTGGAAGCTCCCTCAATATTTTCCAAATTGTCGTCCACGACCAGCTGGAGGCGGGGCAACCAATTCTGCACGGGTTTTCAGACCCCTGACCTCTTCCAGATCATCCTTGATAGGGGGCTTCTCTTCCCTCGGGGTAGTGACCGATTCCTCAAGGGACTTATTCTCTAGCAGAAGGATATTGCGCTCCTCAGTCATCTTGGCCAGGCTCTCTGTCGACGCCTTATGTGCAGCATTCTCTTTGACAAGCTTCTCCTCTAGAGCCACCACCTTAGCCTGAGACTTCCTCGTATCGACATCCAGGGAGATGCCTTCCTCAGAAAACTCCATAACCATTCCGAATACCCTCATGACAGCACTAGCATCTCGGGCCAACATCCCCTGTTTGCTCGGGCGATCCATATCTTCAAGCGTCAGTGATTCAACTCAGGGAAGCTCTAAGGAGGAACCCTCGAAGAAAGTATTGTCATGAAAATAATGAGGAAGCTCGAACTTACCCTTGTCCTGCTCACCCGTCAGATCAACGACGCCCTCAATACACGCTCTCTTGAACCTCAAAGACACTGCTGAAGAGAAGGATGCCCGAGAACAAGGCCAGATGACGACGTCCCCAAACCCGCCTAAGGGGCCTCCCCTGCATCACTTTGAGGACCTTTACTTCACTTATTTCCCTTCTTCAATTTAAGGGTTGCCAATTTGACCATATTCTCCTGAGCGACATTCATTTTTCCTGTAAAACAACAAATGGAAGTCAACAAATGAGGATAAAGAAATAAGCATACAAACTGAATCTAATATTAGATAACTACCCAAGTACGCCACACGATCCCCGCACTTGAGGATCTCCTTAATGTTTATAAGCCCTGGATCAAACACATTCTCCCCTTCCTCGTTTGTTATGGGCCTCCCCCCTTTGACCACATGCTAAACAAGAGGTATCCCCGCAACAAACACCGACAATCGGTTGTGGCTGGTCTGGCCCTCAGGACCCAACTGATCCTTCTTCCAAATATAATGGTCGGTATCATGAACAAAATGTTCCCTCAACCAATGGAAACTAAACTTCGGCACCAGATTCATCATCGAGTCCCCTTCCTCTTTCAACACGGGTCCCCTGACCTTGTCGACCAGTGGGACGCTCCTAAAAATATTCAACAATGCTCTCTCAGACACAAGTTAGACTAACATATACCTTTCCTTAAAATTTCAGACGGATTCGAGGTAAACCTTGAACAACTTCCTATTATCCTGTTTTAAGGAGACCCTTCCCCACTGATCACCAAACTTTCCCCGCTGGAGGTAAAATAAATAAAAGAACAAAGGAACGGTGGCCCCTATCTGTAAATAATCACACACTATCTCAAAATCCCACATGAAGGCAATCGAGTTGGGATGAAGTTGGGAGGGAGCAAGACGAATATGCCAAAAAACGGCAACATGAAGATCAGTGAAAGGAAGTCGAAAACCCAACTCTCGGAAGAGAATCTCATACATAGGAAGATGGTTTGAATCAAACTTATAGCATATACAGTGATCCTTCCCAGGAACATAAATCGCCCATTCTTCCTCGACGTGCTCCGACTCCACCCCCGGAGCCACCAACAGGAACACTTCGTCCGGGTGCTCGGTAAAGTGGGAAGGAATCTCTATAGGACCTGGCGTGACCCAGAATAAGGGATCCTTGGGAGCTGCGGGCACGCTCGACACATCCGCACCCTTCTCTGGTACGCCCGATTCAGGGTCGTACGCCCTCGAAGTACTCTCCTCAGTTGACGTACACTTCAATGAACTTGGTACATAATCGCTATGCTCGCTCATGAGTTCGTCTTCGACACTACTAGCCATCATACTTAAAAAGCAGATAACAAAAGTGATTTCGACATCGAATCAAATCCACCCTTCTACCGCTAATCAAGTGAAAGGGAATGAACGAAGACCTTGTCCCCGACCAGAGCCCTAACTCAACAAAAGAAAATAATATGAGGATGATCTTGTTGTACCCCAATTTTTGCCCATAATATTCCTCTATCATCTCATACCATCACAATGCAACAAGATCACGCATTAGGGTTTCGGTATTTCTTCTACTGTGTCTTATCTTTAAGTTTTCTCTTGAGAGATCACCAAGCACCTTGAATCATGTATCTTGTATATACATGTTTTATATTCTACTGACCTCTAACCAAAATCCAAAAATATGTTTTGTTTATTTTTACAATATAGGGTTTCCGATCGAGAAAATCAGCTGATGGCTCTCCTATTAGGATTGTAGTTTGTTCAGGCCAAAGATGGTTCCCAAAAGTCTACGTTTCAGAGTGGTGATCTATAATCTTAGGCCACACTATTTTAATGTTTCAGTCAGCTTGGTTAAGGCGAGCTTGGTTGCTTATTTCTCAAGATTCTTTGAGATAGGTTCATGTTTTTATTTCCATTTCTTCTTCGACGTCTCGAGTTCATATGTGACTAATAGTGCCTCGAGTTGTTGAAGAAAGACAACGTCTACAGTTAATTCAAAGTTGGTTGATTGAAATTCAACGTTTGCAATTTCGAGTTCAAGTAATCCTAACATCTTCATTATTCATTATTTTTGGTTGATTCTTCGAGCATATGAATCTCATTGACGTCATCTCTGATCTCTCTTTACAAGTCAAGCGATAATTATGTGTAGAAGGTCGTCAAAAGTTTGAGTATGTTAGAGGGCGTTTCGTGACTTTGACCTAAATCCAAATGACTTTCGTCCAACTTCTGAAGATCATAATTCTTTCAATTTTCATCATTTTGGGATGTTTCTTTTTGCAGCATATCGCAAATGGAATTATTTACAAATTTGTTTTAAGGGTCGAAGCTAAATCATGCCTAGAAAGTTAAGGTTTCTATTGGAACATTATAAGTTATTTTTTACCTCTAATTTTGATTTACACCCTAAATTTTTAAGACAAGGTTTTTTTTATGAGAAGTTTTCGTTGGTCAAGAATTGTATTGGAAGGTAGTGGACTATGGCATGAGATTTCCTTTTTAAGAGTTCATGGATTCAAATTAATTCAAAACTCCAATTGGAAATTCAAGGGATTAAGGAAATTACTTTGTTGACATGAGTTTAGGAATTATGGTGCATTTGTCAAATCTTTCAAGCCTTTTCCAAGGATTCAAGAGACAAATTTGATTCATGAATTCAAGCTCCTAATGTCATGAATTCCTAAAGGGAAATTATTCAAAATTTTCAAGCATTATAAGGCAATATTCCTTCAAGATTCATACTTCTTTTCAAACTACAAAGTACCAATTCATCAAAGATCATCTCAAGTCCCTTGTTCGAAGGAGAATTTTCTTGATTTTTCAAGTGTACTTCATGCCAAAATAAATTCAAGAATATCAAAAGATACTCAAGTTCAATGGCATAAGTACCAAGTTCAACTTTATTCCAAGATTTCAAGCACCATTCAAAACATGTTCCAAAGATTTAAATCTCATTCTTTTCTCAAGAATTCCAAGTTTTTTTACAACAAAGATTCAAACTCAAGAAGAAACTTACATAAATTTTCAAATCATCAAGAGTTTTCTTTCTATGCCTAATTACAAGAGAAACCATGTTAATACTTCTTTGTTTAAGTTGCAAGTTACATTCAATACATACAAAATTCAAGTCTTATGGCCTAAGTTACAAGTATCCGCGACATTTCTTCCTAAGAGCTAGGACCGAGCTCTTTTGTGGTCTCTTGAATTCATGTGTGGCTTCGACTCCCGCGTCTTCAATGGCCTCGCCCTTGTTAGTCATCCATCACAATATTACATGAAAGAGATCAAGTAACGAGAGGTTAGCATTGCATCTACAAATGAGTTAACAACATGTTCAAAAAATCACATGCTCACAATAACATGTTCAAGGCCCAAGATTTAATGTGGATCTCATCACAACCATGAAAAACAGAGCTAAAATTGGACCAAGCAATTCTAGGGAGGAGGGGGCTGTTGTAGCATTATTCAAAATAAATTGGACACAATCATGATTCTAGGGCTATTACTAAGAGATTTTCGGATTGGGCCATAGAGAGAAAATCACAAGTTTGTTTGAACAGATTTTCAACTCAATCTCAACACAAGTTTGTTCACACAAAGCCCTCTTTCTTAAGCCCTATTCAAGGGACTTTTACACTGGAAAAAAACTGACAGAAATCCAGAGCAAAAAGTATAAATCCTCACCTCGCCGGAAAATCGAGCTCCCTGACCGGAATTTCTCCTTCGCCGGAAATCCAGCCTTCGCCGGAAAATACATCCTCTCCTCCGTTCACATCTTCTTTTCCTTCTAGAAGGTTGAGTTTCTCTCTCTGAGTCCGAATCCACCCTCCATTTCTCATTTCTATGCTTGATTTGTGTTGTTGGGAACCTAAAGTGTCTGAACTTTTCTTTTAGATCTTGTGAAATTGCATAACCTTTTTCAAAAATTGTTTCAGAATTTGGAGAAAGGGTGACAAACAAAACTAAAAAAATGTAAAAAATAATAAAAAATTCCGGATTACTCACGGTGGCGCCACCGTGAGCCCTCGCCGGCAATCAACGCGAGCTCATCCGAAACACCGTCGCGACTTTCCTCTCTGGGCGCCCTCCGAGTCTCATTTTCTTTCTTTTCTGTTTTGCACTTTTGTTTTTTTCGCAAAAAATATGATGAAGGTGATGATATGATAAAAATAGATTTTGTTTTTTTTTAAATGGTGACAATACTGTCTTGAAAGAAACAAAACATGGTGATGTTATGTTAGTAAGAGATAAGAGTAATTTGAAGAAAAAAAACAATAAATGAAATAGTGTTGTTTGTTGGATACAGTAATGAAGAGCAAAGGATAGAGTGATGTGATTCAATGCATGAGACCGTTGGGTCACTTAGTTTTTTTTTCTTCTTCTTCTTTTTTTTCTTATCGTCTTGGGATTACCGCCGGCAGTTGTATGGATGACAAGTGGTCTCCGATGACACTTGTCATCATACATGAGAAGATGATCAGAAAGTGATTTTCTATATGTACCATGTGTATTTTATAGTGTACTTTAATTCTGATTCAATAATCTTGCATAATTTTTACTTTGTTGACCAGATCCAAAGACTCATATTGTCCCTGTTTAATTTTATTTACTATTTCTATTTTAAATTTCAAAAATTCATAATAAATTCATCTTTCGTACAAAATTTTTGAGAAAATTCATAAAATTATTTATCTCATTTATGATATAATGTACCTTTTTTGGAATTTAATTTCTACTTTTTCTATTTTTAATCATTTTTCATTCATTTGAGTGATTTTAATTAATTTAAAAATATTTTTCTGTTTTAAAAAATTATCAAAAAATTTGTATCTTAGCATGTTTGAGGGACCAAGATCATCTTTGTTTAGGCAACCTTTTGATAGCGTCATCGAGGGACTATGATCTTATTTTTGCATTGTTTTGCCAAGATACTTCGCATGCGTAACATGACCATTTTATTTAGGCAATCAAGTGGGTGAAACCCTAGGGGTGCTTGTGTGAAATGTGTGTCATTTTCATGCATTTGTCTTGGATTAGGTCTTTCTATTTGTTTTGTTTTTGGTCTTGTCATGCAAAGCCTAGTTTACTAAACATGGTATAAATGCGATAAATTGCGTAAATGTAAACTAAGCTATTACAACAATTATTATGGGAGGGGGGATACAAGTTTTTTTAATGGGGATATTGCACAAAATAAATCCTAAAATACTATTACAACTCAATTGAATATTGTGCGAAATAAATAAATATACAAATATTTAAATATGCAATGCAATGTATTTATGAAAAAATGTTTTGTATTTGTTTAAGGTATGAGAAAAATAATTAATTAAACCCTAGAAAATAAGGAGAAATAATATTATTATTTTTGAAAGGGAGAAACCCTAATTTTTTTATTAAAGAAAAAATATGTTTCCTATTATTATTTTATCCATTTTTTGTACAAGAAAATAATAAATAATATAATATATAAATATTAAAAATTAAAATATGTATGAAAATAATTATTTTATGGGTATAAATAATATAATAAAAATGTATGGTATTTTTACATATATTTACAATTTATATAATAAAATAAAATTCTATTTATTCTAATAAACTATTTTCTATGTAAAAAATAATAATAAAATTGAAAAAATATTTAATTATTTTTTAAGATTTTTAATGTTTAGAAAAAATGATTAAAATCAATAAACATAAAAATGTAAAGAAAAAAGTAAAAAATATAAAACAAGAATCACGGGGTGCAAATAGTGGTCAGAGGGGTGCAAAAATCAAAATAGAAAGGCCCAGGCGCACCAAGGCCCAGACAAGTCATCCCTGTCCTCCAGCTTCCTCCCTGCGTGCGCGTTTTGCTTCAAATCTGTATCTTGATATTGCTTGCACAAAAACAAAAACTTGTAACATGAAACATGTAGCTCTTAATCTCACGATTCCAATGATATAAAATTTGTAATCTAAATCTCAAAGATCAAGGAGAATTTAATCATCCCTAATTCGTGACCTAAAAAATCCAGGAACTTCAAGCTTAAAATTCTCATGGCACAATTAATATAAATGACAAATATGCATATGTACAACTTCACCAAGATAAGGGCTACATTTTTTCTTCACAAATCGTGGCTTGAGGATGCCTAAATAGAGAAATAGAGTTTTGAAAAATACCTCCTTCAGCTGGATTTGGATATGTCAATGTGGGGACTTTGAGTGAGGCCTGAGGATCGTGTGAGCTTCCTTGAAGTTCCTTCAAGTTATTCCAATGCCTAGCTTGCTTTGTGGATGGCCAAAACTCTCTGTAGAAGTCAAGCTGCAACCTCCAAATTTGAAAATGACAATGGCTGAAATAGAGCTTACAGAACCAGGGCAAGGGCTTGGATAGCTTTGGTAGGATATATGGAAGGTGTTTGAAGTGTTGAAACAAAAAACGCACGAGCCAAAAATGAAATGGCTAGAGTTTTGCAGCAACTGGCAGTTTTGGTAGAAAAATGAAGTTTTCGAGTTTTGGAGAGTTTCAGATGTTTAGAATTCATGTCCTGGCTTGTGATAAGTTTGTGAGTATGTATATAATGACACAAAGTCCACTCTTTATCAGCTTGTGCAAGTTCTGAACTTTTGGCCAACTTTCTTGCATTTTAAGAAAAGTGAGATGACTTGTGCAACATGCTTGTATTGGCTAGTTTTAGGGCTGAAAAGAGTTGGTGTACATTGCTTGTGATCTGTGGAAATTTCCTGCACCAAAGGGACAACTCCAAGGCTCAAGAATGATAAAGTTGCAAAAGCTCACTTTATGAAAATAGCAATGTGCCCTTTATGCCGTTAATGGAATTATCTCTTGTACAATGTTCCAAAAGCCAAAATAAAGCCTTTATCTTATGAGTTAGCATTAAATTATGGAGTGTAGAATGAGTTTAGGACCTGTAATGCAAGGTACAAGCATCCAAGATCAGATTTACAATTTGACACTTTGTGAAAATGGCATGAACAAAAGTGATAAAATGCCAATTTCTCTTCTTCGATTCTCCCTAACCACAAATGATCTTGGAGAGTTCTTGGACATTCTAGAAAGCTTGCAATGTGCTATACAATCCATATGTGAAATGAATTTTGAGTTGCCTCTTGGAACTAGGTGAAAAATGTCCATGAAGTTGGGGAAAAAACCTGCCTAAATTAGGGCAAATTTTCACTAAGTCATTTAGTTCATGGACCTCTATTCACAAATTCATAACTTGAGATCCAAGCATCTTTTGGGAAAAGTTTGTGAAGAAAAGTTGTATATTTCATGGAGGACTACAAATTTCATGTTGTAAGTTTTCTTTGAATCAAATTGTATCATGGTGAAAAAGTGGTGGAGAGTTGGGAAAAAATAAGAAAATTTCCATACTTAGAAAAATTCTAAGTTATGAAAATTTTCAAATTCAAAACCCTAATTTTCAAAATTGGTTTTCTTGGTCAACAAGTTTCATATTTTGACACATCTTGATGAATTATGACCCTTGGCACTTGATTTTGACCAAAAAGTCAAAGTTTGACTTTTCAGTATACAGTTGACTTTTGATCAGTTGACTGCAAAATTCATATGTCAATCCAATGAACTTGAGATCTTTTGAACCGTGTAATTAGGTCAAGATGATTCCATTGAGTCCTTGAAATCATGCTTGAACTCAATTGGCCATTGGATAGGTTAAAAATCAAAAATTGCCCTTCCACAGTCAAAACCCTAATTTTGACCATTTTGCCCTTTTGATGATTTGATCAAATTTCTTGAGGAGTTGTGATCCAAACTTGATCAAATGGTACATATGAGTCTAAAATGTTGTTGTGGATCAAAAATTATGAAGTTTGACTGTAAATTGACCATGGTTGACTTTTTCCCCAATACAGCTGATTTTTAGGTCAACTGTCCAAATGACTGAGCAAAAATGTGGTTCAAGGATTGAAACTTATCATGGGAAATATTAGGGGTCCAAGATGGTGTATGAAAGTCACATGAAGAATTGGTGGTCCAAAAATCCTTGTGCAAACTCAAACCCTAATTTTGGATTATCAGTGCAAGATGAGGTGTGTTGTACCCCAAAATTTGCCCTCCCATATTCTCCAATAAACTGCCAAGCCAAGCTACAAAATTCCCCAAGAATTGCACAATGCAAAGGCCTCCATACAGTCAAAACTAGGGTTTGTGTGTTGATCAAGAAAAGGAAGTTTTCAAAGGCTCAATCAAGTCTCATATGCTTACAAACATGGTCAAGCATCCTCATATCAAGTTTCAAGGCATTCAGCTCAAGATTGTACAGTCAAAACCCTAAATTGCACTACAGTCAACTGTAGGGGCAAAATGGTCATTTGACAGTCAAAAGTTCAAATTTTTGGTCAACATATCATTTTGAAGCCACAAACATCATTTGATCAATGCTTGATCATGATTCTCAAAATTTGGCTCAGAAATCATCAAAGATGCAAAAGTTGCTATATTTGGACAGCTGAAAAAGTCAACTGAAATTGACCAGAGCATAACTTTCACATGGATTATCAGAAAAATTCCATCCAAAGCTCATTTTGAAGAGAAAGACATTTCCTACAACTCATCTTCATACTTCAAGTCCAAGAAATGCTCTCACAAAAAGTTATCAATTTCAACATTACAGGTCATTTTCAAAAGTCAACAAAAAGGGACTTTAAGTCAAAGGCCATAACTTGAGATTGGTAAATCAAAATGACATGGGACCAAAGGCATTGGTTAAAGGACTCAAAGACCTTTCCAAAATGTCCAAGAACATGTGAAAAGCTTAAAAATTGAGCAAGTTATGCCTTGTAGAAGTTGGGAAATTTTTGTGAAATGGCAAAAGTCAACTATCCTTGAAAATCCAATTTTGACAAAAGGGCCCCATTTTTTCCACTTGGTTCATCCTTGTCATGCCACACACGTGTCCCATGGTTAATTTCAAGACCAAATATTGATTTTTTTATTTTATTTAATTTTTGATGATTTAATTCATTTTAATTCTTTGAAAATTCAAATAAAATTTAAAAACCAATGGAATAGTGTCATATGAACTTGGACAATTCCTATGTATCATGAACCAACTCAAGAAATCAGGCTAGGGTTCATTTGCACACTAGGTCTAGGTTTTGGCTAAAAAGGAGGAAAATGGTTAAGGATGAAAACCCTAGGACTTATTCTTTCCCAAGCATGAATTAAGGGGAGTTAGCAAGCCAATTCCATTCCATGATCATCACTGAGTCAAACCCTAGGCCTAAGACATTATAAGCTGCGCCCAAACAAGCATTGAGGGATGGAAATTTTTGGACAAAAACTCAAAACTGAAAACGAGTTAAGAAGATCTTTCAAGCCTTAATTCTTTGTCCATTAGCATCCTGAGGTATCATTGAACACATCCCAACCCCTAACCTCAATCAAAACGCGAAGGAGCAGTAACAACAACTCAAACTGTACAGCAATTTTTTTT